GGCGATACATCGCCGATGGATCGGCGATAGGCCCCCGATAGTGAATCCGCACCTTGCTGGGCGGGTTGGGGCTATCAGACCCCTATCGGCGATCAGTGGGCGATTGGGGGTCGATGCGTCCCCTCCTATGCCTATCCTCCCCTATCGTTGCCCCTGAGTGTTGCCATGCTTTGAGCAGGGACCGACCGTCCCGGCATTCCTATAGGCCTACCACGACATGTTCTTAGAACCCCAAAATGTTGGAATAACAAAAGCAATAATCTTAGAACATAACCCCGATGTGTGAAAACCAGCCAGTCCCAGCCAGAAATGTTCTAAGAACATGTCGTGGAAACTACCAGAAAGGTTCTTAGAACACTGTCTGGTGGGCCTACGGGCGAGCCAGGACGCTTCGCCACTGCCTGAATGTTCTCGGGGACCTTCTGACCCGGGTCAATCCAGACCCGGGTCAGCAGGAAACCAAAAACTTTAGTGATGGGGGTCTCCTACAGCGACCATTCGCAGGCCATGGCTGTTAACTTCTTGGCCCGCGGAATGAAAACACAAAAAAACGAATTTGACAGACGAGACGCCTTGAAATTTTCAAAATTCCGCTGAGCACTGATTTTTACACGGCCTGTTTTGCCATCGGCTGCTTTGCAATATTCAGAATTCCACGGGGCATTGATTTTTGCCAGGCATGTTTTGCCATGGGGCGATGTGTCATCGATTCAAAAGCGGGGAACCCCAGGCGATGCTCATTGGTACAACGCCCAAAGGGTTTCCGAAACAAACAGCGCACATGTTGGATTTGGCGCGCGGCGTACGCGAGTGAGAAAGCAGCCGCTCCTCTAGGGCAGCGCGCGCCTTGAGGGGACGCAAGCTTCAACGTGCGAGCGCGTCCACCGCGCAAGCGCCAACGCTACGAGCGCGGGAAAAACCGTCCGCTGCACGGCGATGCGCACACCTGTCGCGACATCACTCGAGAGCGTCGCAATCACATTTGTTTCCGTCCAACTTTGAAGACGGCGCTGCGCAGCCAAAGCGCGCGCGGGCGCGCCAAAATCGAAGCAAACACGCACGCGCACACGCACGCGCACACACACAGACACACACACGCGCGCACGCACACACACGCACGTGCACGTAGCGAGCCAAACTTTTGAGTCGCGACGGGTGCAAGCTAGACCAGGGCGCGGCTAACATAATTGACGGCAGCGCAAACATCTCTCTCTCTCTCTCTCTCTCTCTCTCTCTCTCTCTCTCTCTCTCTCTTTCTATATATATACAATATCATCTGTAAATGGAAACAAAGAAAACGGATCGCGGCATATTGCCCAGCAGCCAGCCCAGAAACGCACCCGAACGGGCTCCGCGCCCCGCGGGTGCCGCAAGGAGAATTGTCGAATGCCGACGCGCACTTCCGCGCCGCGAAAGGGCCCCCATGCCGCTGGAGCTTCCGCCACCGCCCCCCCTTTCCCGTAGTGCAAGGTTTCATCGTCTCAAACGCGCGGGTCCGCAAGCGATGTTGCTTTCTGGACCGCCAGACGGCTTCCCCACAATATCCGCGCGCATGTTGGGCTTGGAGCTTAACGCGCGGGACTGAGAAACGTACTCGTTATACAAAGCAGCGCGCGGCCTGGAGAAGCGCGAACTTAACCGCCGCGCAAGCGGGAGGAGCATTGGCCGAAGAACGGCCGTGACCCGGCCTCCGTCGGCCTCCTCAAAAGGCTCCAGAAAAAAATCATTTTCAGTTGCGGCACTTATATGTCGACTTCTATATTCTGGAAAATGCAGAATTATCCCGCGCGCGCGAGCGCTGGTGACCCGGCCTCCGTCGGCCTCCTTGAAGGGCTCCAGGAAAATTCAGATTTAGTTTCGGGAATAACATGTTTACTTTTATATGCTGAACAATGCAGAACTCTCCAGCGCGCGCGATCGCCGGTGACCCGGCCTCCGTCGGCCTCCTTAAAGGGCTCCAGAAAAAATCAGATTTAGTTTCGGGAATAACATGTCGACTTTTATATTGTAGACAATGCAGAACTCCCCACGCGCGCGCGCGGGTGACCCGGCCTCCGTCGGCCTCCTCAAAGGGCTCCAGAACAGAACAAAACAAAAAAACATGTTCAAACGCGGCACTTACATGTCGACTTGTATATTCTGGACAATGCAGAACTATCCCGCGCGCACGAGCGCCGGTGACCCAGCCTCCGTCGGCCTCCTGAAAAGGCTCCAGAAAAATTCAGATTTAGTTTCGGGAATAACATGTCGACTTCTATATTCTGGACAATGCAGAATTCTCCAGCGCGCGCAAGCGCCGGTGACCCGGCCTCCGTCGGCCTCCTTACAGGGCTCCAGAAAAAATCAGATTTAGTTTCGGGAACAACATGTCGATTTTTATATTGTAGACAATGCAGAACTCCCCGCGCGCGCGCGAGGGTGACCCAGCCTCCGTCGGCCTCCTTAAACGGCTCTTCAACCAGCCAACCTGCCTACCAGCCGGCGCACCAGCCAACCAACACACTGGACTTAACCAACCAACCGGCGCACGCGCAGCCTTACGTGTACAAACTTGTAGATAGGCGAGGATTATCGCGCCCCGCGATGCGCGACGCGTGGTGAACTTCACGCCCCTGCGCCGCCGCCCTGGACAAGGCCGGCTCTCCTGCCCGGGCCGCGACGCGCGAGGCGCAATAATCTTCGCGCCCCCAGGGGTGACCAAGTGCAAAGGCCTTGGGCGGCCACGTGTTTCAAAAATATGAAAACCCACGGATGCAAAGCACACAGTGAGTATGCAGGCGTACAGTGAAGGTATTCACCTAAGGTGTGACATAAGGAACGAATGCCCCCACCTCGGCATGCGGATACATGCAGGGGCGACAGCGGGGGGGCCCGAGATTGGAGCTGGACCGTAACGCAACCACCGTTCAATTATGTCGAGCCAGTGAGCTCCGAACCGCGTGGCCGAAGGAACGGGGGGGGCTCTTGCGTGGAACTGGACCTCAATGCCCCATACCTTGGCATGCGGATACACGCAGGGGCGACAGCTCCAGCGCGCGCCCCGCAAGGAACGGGGGGGCCTGAGAACGGAGCTGGACCATGACGCAGCCACCGTTCAATTATGTCGAGCCAGTGAGCTCCGAACCGCGTGGCCGAAGGAACGGGGGGGCCCTTGCGAGGAACTGGACCTCAATGCCCCGCGCCCTGGCGCGCGGAACGGGCGAATGCCCCAGCGCGCGCCCCGCGAAGAAAGGGAAGGCCCCGGAGAGGCGCAGGGCTTATACGCGACCGCCGTCGCATTACGTCGAGCAAGCGCAAGGAACCGAGCCCCCCCGTGGAGCCCCGTTCCCTAGACCGTCCGCCCCGATCGACAAAACGAACCCGCGCGTCCAAAATCGCAAGGAACACCGGGGGGGCTCGCCGCCAAAAAGGCAGCGGAACGCATGCAAACCTAAGGAACGTCCGAGCCCCTTTTGAAAAGTAAGTGTTCCTTACTCAAGGCGCTCGCTGTGCGCGCCTCCGTCGGCCTCCAGAAAGCTTCGCAGAAAAGTTCAATTCAGCTTTTGGATTTACACGGCGATCTTCGTATTGTGGGCAATCCAGAACTTCCTACACGCGCCCGCGCCGCGGCGCGCGCGCGCGTGGTGAGTTCTGCATTGTCCACAATAAAAAGCTGTAAGGGGGCCGAGGGGAGCGCGTAGTTCTGTATGTGGACACTACAGAACTCACCACGCGCGCGCGTAGGGAGTTCTGTTTTGCCCACAATCTCATGCAGAACTGCGCGCCTCCGTCGGCCCCCTTACTACTTCACAGGCAAAAATAAATTCAGTCTTTGGATTTACAAAACGATCTGCTTATGGGGGGCAATCCAAAACTCACCACGCGCGCGCGCGGGGAAACCAAATGTGAAACTGAATTCTCTGGCCCCAAGGACTCGCCGTACAATGGACAAATGCGTTGGAAACCGCAGCGCGCGCCGCAAAGTCGCGCGCGCGCGTTGGACAATGAGCGGGGAATTATATTGCGCAGCTCAAGGTCGCGCGCGCGCGCCCTTGCGCTGCGCACTGTGGTTTTCTACGCATGTGTCAACGATGTCAGCCTGAAAATCAATAGGGGAAACCCTAAGCAAAATTTAGTTCTCTGAATCCAGGAGATGGCCACACGATTAGCAAATGCGTGGAAAACCACAGTGCGCAGCGCAAAGACGCGCGCGCGCGACCTTGCGCTGCGCACTATGGCTTCCCACGCATGCGAACTCGAAGTCCAAATCGGGAATGCATCATGTAAACAATATTTCTCTGGCCCCAACAGATGGCCATGCAGTTGATAATTGCGCGGGAAAGCCAGCGCGCAGCGCAAGGTCGCGCGCGCGACGTTTCGGTGCGCACAACGGTTTCGCCCCATAAATTTGTGAACGATGTGAACGCGAAAACCAAACGATGCGCAATTTAATACTCGTCCCAACAGATGACCATACAAGTGGAAACCATAGTGCGCAGCGCAAAATCGCGCGCGCTGCGCACTTTGGTTCCCGCGCGTTTGTCGTCGGTGTGAACGCGAAAACCCTAAGGGAAAACCCGATTTGAAATGTAGTTCTCTGGCCAGACACTTAACAAATGCGCTGCGCCCAATGGTTTTCCACGAACTGTTAAGTGCATGGCCATCAGCGCGCCATGGCTTTCCTGCGCCGGCTGCCGCGGCTTGCTGTGGCCAGCGGACGACCAATAGTGGGCCATGGGTGCAAACGCGAAGAGGATTTCGCGCAAACGGCTAATCACGGGAAAAGAATCCACGGGGGGCGGGCCAGGGGCATCGGGGCCGTGTTTTCGTCCCAAGGAAATCGGAGGGGCGGGGGGGGGGACCTCCTGCGGTTAACCCGCGACATTCCCGGCTGCGGGGCCCGCCGCGTGCGCAACATTTCCATCCGGGCCACTGCCCGATCTCGCGCACCGGCCGGGTTCGCTGAATTCCCAGCCAGGTCACCAACCAAAATCGCCGAGTTACCGGCCGGGTGCGCGGAGTTACCAGCCGGGCGCGCGGGAATTAACAGCCGGGCTACCGGCCGGGTGCGCGGAGTTGCAGCCGGGCTGCCGGCCAGGCAAAGGGCCGGCCGTCTGCGGCGTTCTGTAGCGGCGCTGTAGCTCCGCTACAGAATGTGCTGCAAGGCCAAGCTAAGGGCCGGGCTACCAGCCGGGCTACCGGCCGGGTTGCCGGCCGGGCTGGGAATTAACAGCCGGGTTACCTGCCGGGTGACCAGCCGGGCTGGGGCTAACAGCCGGGTTACCGGCCGGGCGCGCAGTTAACAGCTGGGCTACCAGCCGGGTTGCCGGCCGGGCCGGGTCACCGGCCGGGTTCGTAGAATTGCCGGCAGGGTTACCGGCCGGGTTCGTGGAGTTACCGGCAGGGTTGCCCGCCGCGTTCGCGGACTTACTGGCCGGGCTACCGGCCGGTCACCAGCCGAGCTATTGGGTGGGCGAGGGGCCAGCCCGCCATGGGCACCGGCCAGGGTGGGCAGGGCTGCTTGCCGGGCCAGGCCCCAGGCCGGGGGCGACCGGGCTGCGCTGAACACGGGCCGCACATGGCCTCGGCGCTTTCCCCTCGCGCATATAATATGGTGTCCCGCCCTAACGCGCGGCGGCATTGCCCCTTGCAACCGTATGTTCGCCTACCTACGTAGTGGCCCAGGCCACAGTGCGTGTGGCTGCATTTCCGCGATCGCATATTGCGTTTATTTCCCGCGCAGAAAGGCCCGCGGCCGCCGCGCGCCGAATGCACAGCTCGCGCCCGCGCGCGCGCGTAGTACGCTGAGCCACTTGGCCGACGTGCTACAACCCCATGTTAACTTGGAAATCCATTCGGCCACCGCTGAAGGGGCCGCTTGAGTTTCCAGGCAAACATAGCGGCCCGTCTATTGTGGTCACAACAGAATGAACAGCTCGCGCCCGCGCGCGCGTGGGCGCGTTGCGCGCTCAGCCACATGGTCGACATGCTCCAACCACATGTTAACTGGGAGATGCAGTCGGTCACCTCTCAGGGCCACCTTCGTTCACAGGCCAACACGGCGGCCCTTCTTTTGTGGGTAACCCAAGATTCACGACTCGCGCTCGCGCGGTCGCGGGCGCGCGCGCGCGGTGGCGCTTTGTAAATCGAGCCACGTAACCGACGCGCTACAAACTCATGCTAACTTCGAAATCCAATCGGTCACCGCTAAGGGGCCATTTGACTTTCCAGGCCAGGCGGCCCTTTCTAATGTGGGTAGCCCAGAAGTCACATCTCGCGCGCGCGGGCGCGTTGTACGCTAAGCCACGTGACCGACATGCTACAAGCCCATGTTAACTCGGAATACAATCAGTCACCGTTAATTGGCCAATTGGATTTTCCATGCCAACATGGTGGCCGTTGTACGGTGGAAAAAATGAAGAGTTCACAGCTAGCGCGCGCGTGGGCGACGTGTACGCTGAGCCACCTGGCCGATACGCGACAACCCCCATGTTAACTCGGAAGTTCAATCGGTTACTGCGGAGGGGCCAATTGAGCTTCCATGCCAACATAAAGGACCCGATATTGCGGGTAGTACGGCTTTCAGAGCTCGCACGCGCCGGGGGGGGGGCGCGCGCGCGCGGGCGCTATGTGCGTTCAGCCACATGCTACAAGCCCATGTGAACTCGGAATTCCAATCGGTCACCGCTCAGGGGCCGCATGAGCTTCCAGGAGACAGCGGCCCTTCTATTCTGGGTAGTGCAGGAGCACAGCCCGCGCGCGCGTGCGCGCGTTGTGCGCTGAGCCACTTGGCCGACATGCAACAACCCCATGTTAACTTGGAAATCCATTCGGCCACCGCCACGGGGCCGCTTGAATTGCCAGGCCAGCACGGCGGTCCTCTGTCGTGGATGATACAGAGTTCACAGCTCGCGCCCGCGCGCGCGGGCGCGTTGTACGCTGAGCTACTTGGCCAACATGGCACAACCACATGCTGAATAGGATATTCAATCTTCTACCGCAGCGGGCAACTTTTAGTTTCCAAGCAAACATAGCGGCCCTTCTGGTGTGGATAGTTCGTAAGTCACTGCTCGCGCGCGCGCGCGCGTGGGCGTCCTTTACGCTGAACCACTTGTGCGACATGCTACAACCCCATGTTAAATTGAAAATCCAGTCGGCCATCGCTAGAGAGCCACTTGCGTTTCCAAGCCAATACGGCGGCCCTTCTGTTGTGAGCGATGCAGAGGTCACAACTCGCGCTCGCGCGCGCGCGGGTGCGTTGTACGCTGAGAAACTTGGCCGACATGCGGCAAACCTAGGTAAACTGGGAAAACCGATCGGCCACCGCTAAGGGGCCACTATGGCTTCTTGGCCAACATGACGGCCACTCTATGGCGTGCAATAAAGAATTTACAGCTTAATCGGCGCGCTGCAAACTCATGGTTACTCGGAGATCGAATCAGCCAACGATAGGATTGCACTTCAGTTTCCAGGCAATCGTGGCGGCCCTTCTATTATGGGTAACCAAGTGATCCAGAAGTCGCAACTCGCGCGCGCGCGGGTGGGTGCGTTGAGCGCTGGACCACTTGGCCAACGTGCCACAAACCAGTGCAAACCTGGAAATCAATCCGGGGTTCCAAGCCAACACGGCGGCCCTTCTACTTTGGAGCAGGGTTCGCAGCTCGCGCCCGCGCGCGCGCGGGCGCGTTGCGCGCTGAGCCACTTGGCTGACATGCTGGATGCCACCGCAAAGGGGCTACTTGAGCGTGCAGGCCAACATGGCGGCCCTTCTACTGCGGGTAGCACGAAAATTCACAACTCGCGCGCGCGCGGGCGCGCGCGCGAGGCGCCTTGTACGCTGGGCAACTTGGCCGACATGCTACAAGCCCATGTTAAACGTGGAAAATACCATCGGCCACCGCTAAGGGGCCACTTGAGTTCTCAGGCCAACGTGGCGGTATTTGCATTGCGGAGAATACAGGGCTCACAGCTCGCGCCTGCGCGCACAGGCGCGGGCGCTCTGTGCGCTGCACAACTTAACCGGCACGCTACGACCTTTTGCTAACTTGGAAGTCCGTCGGTCACTGCTGAGGGGCCACTTAAGTTTCTAAGCAAACATGGCGGCCATTCTATTGTTGGTGATACAGAATTCACAGCTCGCGCGCGCGAGCGCAAGCGGGCGCGCGCGCGCGCGTGGGCCCGTTGTACGCTGAACTTTTCAACCAAAACGCTACAAACTCGAGCTATCTCGGATATTCAATCGGTCACCGCTAATGGGCCGCTTGATTTCCCAGGCCAGCATGGCGGCCCTGCCATTGCGGGTAGAACTCACAGCTCGGCGCGCGTGGGCGCGCTGTGCGCTGAGACACTTGGCCGACATGCTAGAAACCCATGTTAAATTGGAAAAAGAAATTGGCCACCACTAAGGGGCTGCTTGAACTCCCAAGCCACCATGGCGGCCCTTCTGTTCTGGATAACGCAGAGTGGCGGCTCGCTCCCGCGCGCGCGGGCGACTTGTGCGCTGAGCCACTTGGCCGACATGCTGCGTCCCCATGTCAATTTGACAATCCAGTCGGTCACCGCTGGGGGGCCACTTTAGTTTCCAGGACAGCACGACTGCCCTTCTTTTGCGGATAACGCAGAATTCACAGCTCGCGCCCGCGCGCGCGCGTGGGCGCGTTGCGCGCTGAGCCACTTCGCCGACGCGCTACAAACCCATGGTAAATCGGAAATCCAATCGCTCTCCGCCAGGGGACCACTTGAGCTTCCATGCCAACATTGCGGCACTTCTATTATAAGTGATACAGAATTCACAGCTCGCGCCGGCGCGCGCGCGCGGGCGCGTTGCGCGCTGAGCCACTTGGCTGACGCGCTGCAGCCCCGCGCTACCTGGAACGCCCATTCGGTCACCGCCCAAGAACCCCTTCGTTTCCAGGCCCCTTCGTTGCCAGACCGCTGAGAACAATGCAGAAATCACACCTCGCGCGCACGCGCGCGTGCGCGTTGTACGCTCGTCCTCCTCCTCCTCCTCCTCCTCCTCCTCCTCCTCCTCCTTTCCTCCTCCTCCTCTTCCTCGCCCAATCCTCCTCCTCTTTCTCCTCCTTTCCTCCTCCTCCTCCTCATCCCCCTCCTCCTTCTCCTCCCCCTCCTCTTCCTCCTCCTCCCCCCCAAAGCTTGCGCAGTCAATGTCATCATACTTCTGCTCGCCCCTTTCCTGCTACTCCCGTCGCTCCCCCCTTCTTCCTTTTAGTCCTCGTCCTCCTCGTGTTCCCCCCCCCCGCCTCCCCCTCCCCCGCCTCCTCATCATTCTTCTGCGCCCTGCCTGTTTCGGCAAGGGCCGCGAATGTGCATTCACACCCGGGCGTGCCCAGGCTGACCCACGAAATTCAGTTTGACGGCTTCCCCATCAATTTCTCTTCGTTACACGGAATGTTCCCGCACTTCCCTGATCAAGACATTTCGCCTGGGTACTATGGCTGGGTGGACCGTGATGGATACGAACAGTAACGAAACCAACTACGCATCCAACCGCCAATTAAACTACACACGGAAAGCCCCACAAACATGTTTCGCACGTGGCGTTCATCGTGCAACAACACTTCCAGAAGGGCGAAAGAGGCGAAGCCTTCCCACAATAAAATCGCGATTTCTGAATTCAAGCACACACAGCCCTTCAGGGCAAAAACAACAACAAACCATAATTCTGGATTTTCCAAACCATGCCTTCGGACAAAAACGTAATTTTGAGTATTACATTTTAGTTGTGCCCCCCGGCCTGGCTGTTAGCATTTTTGGGTGGCCCCCCCGTCCTGTAGACGGCCCCCTCACTAACAAAAACTGCAATGCAGGAAACAAAAAACTGCAACGCAGGTCCTCGCAAACCCTGGTCAGCCAGAAGGGGTCTTCGCAGGATCCTGCAGGCTCTGGCGCTCTGGCTGACCCCCGTTTGCACTGACCCCCGTCTCAAGGCTCCCGATGTTCGGCCTCGGGGCCCTCGCCGGCTCCCCGGGCCCTCCGCGCAGCGGCCCGGGCGGGAACACGCCGGCCCCCCGGGGGATCGGTCGAGACCTCCGCGGCCCCACGCTGCTCCCGGGCGGCCGCCGAGCGGCCCCTGCCGCTGCGCGGCCCCAGGGGTCCTCGGCCCCTTCCCCATGGTCCTTGGATACCGATTTTTTTGTTCGGTTGCGATCGGCAGCGACCGATCGGCACTCCAAATCGGTCGCGACCGACCCCTTGATCAGTCGCGACTCCAGATCGTTGGATACCAATTTTTTTTCGGTTGCGATCGGCAGCGACCGATCGGCGCTCCAAATCGGTCGCGACCGACCCCATGATCGGTCGCGACCGGTCGCCACCGATCGCGACCGATCGGCTGTGAGCGCTCGGTCGCGACCGATTCTGAAGCAAAGCGGTCGTGACCGATGCCGGAATTGGAAGCAAAGTCGGTAGTGACCGTTCTCGCCGGTCGCGACTGGAAAAGTCCAGTATCAAATGATCAGGGTCCCTGGAGAGTGGTTCCTCGCCCCAGATCCACTTTTAATTGTCCTCCAGGGCCTGGCAGATGGCCCTAGAGGAGGGAACCGAGGAAGAACGCCAGGATTGAAAGCATCCGAACGTCGGAGATCTGGGCTAAACAGGTAGGACGCCGGGGGTCTGTGTCCATGCAGCAACGCCACGGCGGTGACGATCGAGACCCCCGACGTCATGCTTTTTCACTACGTGGACCCCCAGAGGTCTCGATCCATTGACCAGACTTTCATTCTGAATAGTCCCAGGGCCTGGCGAGGGCCCCCAGAGGCCGAAAAGAGCAAGAACCCGTCTGCCGACTTGTTTTTTGAGGACGCGAGGGGGTCTGGGGGGCCGGTCTGTGGAGGAGCGCCGACCGCGGTGTCGAACGAGGCCGGGCGGAACTGCGAGGCGGCCCGGTGCTGCGAGCCGTCGGAGAAGACGTGCTCGCGCGCGGGGATCACGTGAAGGGGGCCCCGCACCCAGCGCGAGCGCTCCAGCTGCCTCCAGCACGCCACCTCCTTAGATCGATGATCCTCAGAACGCGTGTCAGCGCCAACGTGCGCGTGTCCACGGAGGCTCTTGAATACAACGTAGGCGGCGCAACGAAGGCCGACACAGGATACGCGCTATCGACGGACAAGAACGGGGTAAAAACACGCTTGGGCTAACACGCGTCCTGAGGATCATCGATGAGAAGAACAAACCATTCAAATCCAGGCGATGCAATTCTTCGTCTCACCAGGCGTTTTCGCCCGGTTTCGGGCCCCAGGGCCATCACAGATCGATCCGGCTCGAAAAATGCAATGGACAGATGAAGTCTAGAGCACCGGTCGTGCTTTACTCACGCTGTTTCAACATGCTTCGCGACGTCGGATATCAGGGTATGCCCTGCGAGCTGATAGAGCTTCGCTCTGCTCCGCGGGGCGGGGGGCTCTGGTTGCACGCTGTCGATTTGTTTTGCAACGTCGTATGTCAGGCATCCTTATAAATCAAGGGGCCCTGGGACACACAAATAAACAGGCACAAACCACCGGATTTCCATATTTACCTATATTTTCTGGGTTTTTGTCTTCTCCCCACTTCCCATATTTTGCTACATTTCTGGGGGAATCGGCGATTCATTGTGTCTGTGTGTGTGTGTGTGTGTGTGTGTGAGCCCGCGAGCATTTCGGAGGCCCGCGAGCATTTCTAGATCGGCGCTGGGCCCCCCTGGCGGCGCGTCTGGTGCCGCCACTGGCGCGCTCCGCGCGCCAGAGGGGCGGGTCCAGCGCCTATCCAGGATATCTGCGCGGACCTCCGTAAGTTTACGCTTAAGTCGGGCCTGTCCCCCTACAGGCCGACTTTGGGCGAAAAACAAAAAATAAACCAAAAATGCCCCAAAATGGTTAAAAAAATGCTAAAAGAATCGTCCCCCGACTATTTTTTGAATGTTCCTCCTGTAGAGGGACAGGCCCGACTTAAGTTTACGCTGATGCGGCGTTGAAATCCCCGATGCCTTCCAGGCGGGCACGAAGATCGCGAAGCTCATCGGCCCGGTGCTGGCGTCGAGAAGCGCCTCAGCGTGCTCCACCGCCGCAGACATCACCTCTGGCACGAAAGGCGGGTTCATCTCGAAGGAGCCGGAATCGGGCCAGAAATCGAAGAAGGAGCCGCGCGAGCCGAAGGGTGCATCCGTGTGGGGCAGCAGGGAGCAGTAGGCCGGGAGCGTACAGTTCAGGGGGGACGCGAAACACTCCAGCGTCACCTGGGCGACGACAACCAACGGGTCCCCCGATCTCCGACGATGTATGGCTTCTTCAATCTGGGGGTGGAATTCTTCGATTTCGGTCTCTGGACGCCAGTGATGTAGGAAGGCACCAACTATACACCAACACCAATCCTTGCCAGGATCACCCTGGGCCCAGGATCGATGTATACGCCCTCCTGCCTTGGGCAGAATGCGTATACACCGATCCTGGGCCTAGGATCGGCCTGGCCAGGATCGGTGTAGGTGTATAGTTGGTGCCCTCCGATGATGGGTCCCAGGGCAATCAAAAACGGATCCGGGACGCAAAAGTACTCCCGGGGAACGGGTCGGGACCTCTGGGGCCGAGCATTGACAAAAATCACGTCGTTGGATGTCTGGGTCTTGCGCGACACGGCATCGCGACCTGACGCGGTGGCTTCTGCGGGCCGCCAGCGTGGCACACCTCGTGTACCCGTATCCGCGACTTCGCGGGCCGAGCCCGTCGACCGCGACCCCGTTGATGCGGGTGTGCCTCTTCGCGGCTGCCCCGCGCGGACCGCATCCGTGCGACCGCGCATCCGCGGGACCGCGCCCCGGGATCTGGCTCGCGAGGGCGCGGATGCGGGCAGGACCGCCGCTCGTGCGCACCGCGCGGAGGCGCCTGCGCGCGCAGTCGCGCGGGAGGCCTGCGCGCGAGCGTCCGCGCAGGCGGCCCCGCTTCCCCGCGCCCGCTCGCCTCGAGCCTGCGGCGCAGCACCCGGAAGGCGCTGGGCGGCAGCGCGGCCTGGTAGCCCGCGCCCCCGAGCGCCTCCACGCAGGCTAGCGCGCAGAAGAGGCGGTCGTGCAGGAGGGCCCGGTTGCCGACGCTGGCGCCCTGGCATTGGCGGCGCACACGAGGGGGCGGAGGGAGAGGGGGGGGGCTTCTTAGAGGGAGGCTGCTCCTTGGAAGGCCAGCGCGCAGAAGGGGCGGTCGTGCAGGAGGGCCCGGTTGCCGACGCTGGCGCCCTGGTTTTTTGGGGGCCCACAAAGGACGTACGCGCCCAGCTATGTACATGAGCACGGCCCCTCGATCTGCGAGACCGGCCACATGATACGAACCTTCGGGCAATGCGTGCTCTCGATCATGTACGTGTACGTCCTTCTGTCGCTCCTGAGTTTTGGCGGCGCACGCAAGGGGGTGGAGGGAGGGGGGGGGGCTTCTTCTAAGGAGGAATGCTTCTTAGAAGGCGCCGGGCCTTGCATCTGTAGATGAGGCCCGCGCCTTCTAAGAAGCAGGGGTGCTTCCAAGAAGCCCTCCCCCCTCCCCCCACCCCCCTCTGCGCGTGGCTGATGGTTGGCATGAACCAAACGGGTCCCGACAGAACAGGAACAGGAGCAACAAACAGGCGCCGACAATCGTCTCGGAGGACGGCTCTAGGAGAGCACGGCGGTGGCGCGGAGCGCTGGAAGCACGTTGGCCTCACGATGTCCGAAGGCGAACGCGAAAGCACACATTACAGAGAGCAATACTGACAAAATGGCGGAATCTACACTCCTGAAGAGGCTGGCCGAATGCCAATGCGGAGGCAATGGAGCGGGAGGAGAGGAACGAGGGGGTCCCGATGGTCGGGGATCTTCTGACCCGGGTCAATCCAGACCTGGGTCAGTCAGGCCTTGCAGAATCCAAGATCCTGCAAGATCCTGCACCCAAGCCCCGGTCAATGCGAAGGATCCTGCAAGATCCTGTAGGATCCTGCGCCCAAGCCCGGGTCAGTGCGACCCTGGCCCTGCAGGATCCTGCAAGATCGGGCGCTCGGGCTGACCCCCGTTTGCATTGACCCCCGTCTCAAGGCTCCCGAGATGGAAGCGGGTCCTGGACCCGGGAGCCTTACACCAGGACGAGCTCTTCGTGATAAGTCCTTTTCAGGGGCAGTCCTGGAGCCCGTGGATGGCCCAGGGAGGCCATGTAAACTGCAAAAGGGGGCTCGGGACCTCTTTGCTTCATGGCGACCTTGGCGCGCTGGTGGGCGTCGTGCAGCTGCCGCAGCTTCTCGTAGTGGGGCCAGTTCAGGGACAGCAGAGGAAGAACAACAGCACAAGCATACACTTTCGACGGCCCGCGCGGATGTCTTGGATCCGCCTGCGCTGGACCCCCCTCGCTGGCGCGCGGAGCGGGCCAGGGGCGGCCCCGAAAGCGTCGCCAGCGGGATCCATCCAGCGCCGATCCAAGAACTCCGCGCTGAGCTACGACAGTATATGCTCATGTCGCTCCTTCTTCCTCGAGCCCAGACCCCCGACGTCATGTTTTTGCACAACGTCGACCCCCGGAGGTACCGGCCCATTCCCCCGGACCAGCTTTTGATCCTGAACCGATGTGTGACGGTCTCGAGGCCCAAGTGCGGGCCCCCAGAGGCCGAACACGGCGAAAAGCCTTCCGCCATGATTGTTTCATGACTCGAGGGGTCTGGGAGGACAGGTAGGGCCGCTCCCATCCGAGGGAGAGGTCCACGCGGCCCCTCTCGAAGGTGCGGGCAATACTTATATCCACATCCAGCGCGTCCTGGATCTTCCTGGAAGAAGCGCCGCAAGGCCGAGGCACACTGGACATGGATAAGCATCGAGCCTCTAGGGGTCAGATTCTCATATCCAGTGCGCCTGGGGCTCCGTGTGAGCAAACAAAACAAGACCCCTACCCGTTGGGAGGGGACTTACGTTAGGAGGGCCGAAACCATTAAGAATAGGGGCTCTTTTTTATGAAGATGTATCTAAACGCACTGCCCAGATTTAAACTATCACCCCTAATGCACAGATGGGGACCTAAGTGAGGCCATGTTACTAGGTGTATGGGGCTCTTTTATCCTCGATGATCTGGGGAAAGGATTATGTTGCTCGCAGCGTACTTAAGGGCCACATCCCAGAAACAATTTCGAGCACCCAGAAAGGTATCGAAACAGTGTCGAGCGAGAATCCCCTCCAAGGGCCCGGCGCGTGAAAACCCTCCAGTTTCGGTGCTCCCTTGGTGCTCGAAATTCTTGCTGGTGGTCAAGGCTCAAGTAGGTGGGAACGTCATAAGGAAGGAGCCCGAATCTCCAGGATGCAGTGGCTATGATGGGCCTGTCTTCCAACACCACCACCATAAGTAGGAGGGGGAGGGGGTCCTCCTCCTCCTCTTCCTCCTCGTCCTCCTCCTCGTCCTCCTCCTCCTCCTCCTCCTCGTCCTCCTCCTCCTCCTCATCCTCTTCGTCGTCCTCCTCCTCGTCCTCCACCGCCTTCCCCCCCTCCAACTTCTGGTGGCGGTGGTGGTGGAAAACATGCCTATCAGGCTGTGCACACAAGCCCTGCCCGCAGAAGGAAGCGTGCACCGCCCCGTGCTGCAGCTCGCCGGGCGGCGTGGGCGCCAGCGCCCGCGCGGCCGCCCCCGAGGCGCCGCACAGCGCGGCGGCCGCCGCGTGCGCCGCGTCCTCGGCGAGGCCGCCGCGGACCAGGTCCTGAAGACGAGGCCAGGACGAGGACAACAGCAGGTGAGGACAGATCGGGAATCTCTGGGATCCAGCGGCTCCTCCTCCCAGTGTCCCAAGAGTGTCTTCCCTCCTCCCTCCTTTTCCCCTTCCCCGTCGCCTCCTCCGTCCCCCTCTCCTCCTCCCTCCCATTCCCAAACTTTTTGACTCTTTTCGTCGTCGCTGTCTTCGTCGTCGTCCCCCTTTTTACAGGTTTTACGCGAGATGACGTAGCGACCTCACGCGGCGGCCTACGCGGGCCGCCAGCGCGGCACGCTACAGTGGAGACGAGGGAGCTGACGCGCGAGCTTAAGCGGGCAGCGTGCGCACGAATGTCGGCGCCGACGACCCCGTTTTCTGGCGTCGCTCATGTGAGGACAAATCGGGACTCTCTGAGATCCAGCGGCTCTGGATGATGTCTCGGGCGCCGCGGCCTTCTCAGAGCGTTCCGGAACGCTCTGAGAGCATTCCAGAACTCGCTGGAACGGATTTATACTCGTCCCGTCTGGGTCCTGGAAGAAGGAAACCCTGACATGCTCGCGTCGAGAAAAAACAGGACGGCAACTTTCACTGCTTTCAACCTCTGGGGTCCCTAACTGGGCCTCGGGGTCGTCAACAAACGACTCAGGATGAAGCACTGCTCTGGGAGAAGAAATCGAGACCTCTTGGGGTCGACATTGCGTGACAACTCAATGACATCGGGGGTCTGGGGGCGGAGCAATCCGGCTGCGGTCAGGAACTTTTGGATAGCGTGTCGCCGCGGCGGCCCTGGCGACACGCTATGCCCTGAAAGCGGATGGTGTCTCGCTCCACTCCGAGGGGCGGGAGGCTTGGCAGTGCTCGCGACGTTGACACTGGGAGGCCGGGAAGTGGATAATTAGCGTGTCGCGCCGAAGCGTGGTGGGCCAGAGCCGGCGTAGCGACACGCTATCCGCAAGCTCCCGACAGGAAGCACAAAGTGTCGGAGGTCCGCGCGGACTCCTCTTGGATCGGCGCTGGGCCCCGTTGCTGGCGCGCGGAGCGCGCCAGGAAGCCCCGGCGCCGCTCCGAGATCTTCGCGCGGAGCTCCGACAATTCATGTTTACGGGTGGGCTAACGCCCACATTGTGGTGCCGCCGGCCCGCTTACTACACGCTGTCCCCCACTTTCGGGAGTAGCGTGCACCGAAGAAGCCCCGGCAGGGAGGCAGCTCGCACAGAGAGGGCCCCGAATCGCCTCACCAAAATGGCGTGCTTTTCGGAGATCGATGTTGCAAGGTACCGTAGATTGATCTACCCGTTCTCCGACCTTGTACTGCGCCGAACGCAACGGCCGCGATGTCTACAGACGCATCCACCCCGAACGTGCCGATATACGCAGCGACACTCAATGTGTCTATAGACGCTTGTGGCTAGAAAGTGAGCACGG